GTATGTTTTGATGCTGGTTTAAGCTGGTCCTTTGCTGGTTTATGCTGGTCATGTGCTGGCAAAGGACCAGCATAAACCAGCAAAGGACCAGCATAAACCAGCATCCCAGCGTCAAAACATACATACCTAACCAGCATATGCTGTTTTTTTCAGCTCTCACCCATCCACACACCATCTGGTTATATGCCTCCAAACCTTTGTAACATTTGAGGTCCTCAGCTGTGTACGGGCTTGGCAAAAAAAATGAAGTATTTAACTATGTCAGGATAAGAAATGTTAGGAAGAATTGTCGGGTTGTCAGTCCACGACAAAGGAGCCAGCTCGTACGGATCTTTACCACCTAAACGCTACCAGCTGAAATTGAGCAGGAGGGTCTGGGAGAGACTGATCCTGATGATAGTGCTGACATATCTACTGCAGCAGTTGCCCAAGATCGAACCAAGACCCTCCACTAGTGCCCAAACCAGATATCAACCTAATGAATTCCTCACACTCGATCCAGCCACTATCGCTGAACTATTCCCTTGATAAGACTGACCAAACACCAGGTATATATGAAAACAAACATGTTAGAAAGAGGTCAACAAACTGGAAATATAATGATGAGAATGATACCCTGATGTATGACATGGAATCATACATACAGGAAGAAGGGCTATCACCCGTACGATCAGCACTGGAGCTCCTCAGGGTTGTGTTCTCTCTCCACTGCTCTTCTCCCTGTACACCAACGACTGCACATCTAAAGACCCCTCTGTCAAGCTCCTGAAGTTTGCAGACGACACCACACTCATCGGCCTCATTCAGGACGGTGACGAGTCTGCTTACAGACAGGAGGTCGAGCAGCTGGCTGTCTGGTGCAGTCTCAACAACCTGGCGCTCAACACGCTAAAAACTGTGGAGATGACCGTGGACTTCAGGAGAAACCCCTCTGCACTCCCCTCACTCACCATCATGGACAGCACTGTGACTGCAGTGGAGTCATTCAGGTTCCTGGGCATCACAATCTCTCAGGACCTGAAGTGGGACACTCACATTGACTCCATTGTGAAAAAGGCCCAGCAGAGGTTGTACTTCCTTCGCCAGCTGAGGAAGTTCAACCTGCCACAGGAGCTGCTGAAACAGTTCTACTCCGCCATTATTGAATCTGTCCTCTGCACTTCAATAACTGTCTGGTTCAGCTCAGCTACCAAATCTGACCTCAGAAGACTTCAGAGGGTAGTCCGGACTGCTGAGCGAATCATTGGTACAACCCTCCCTTCTCTCCAAGAACTGTACTTATCCAGAGTGAGCAAAAGGGCTGGCAGAATCACTCTGGACCCCTCACATCCAGCACACTCCCTCTTTGAACTGTTGCCATCTGGTCGACGCTACAGAGCTCTGAGCACCAGAACGACCAGACACAGGAACAGTTTCTTCCCTCAGGCCATCCATCTCATGAACACTTAACAATAACTGTGGAACACACACTATTTATTCACTCATACACTTATTTTTCTAACACACATACTCAGTCTACACCTCAAATTTGCACATAATATACAGTACCTGTACATACAAAAACTGTCTATTGTAATATACCTGCACATACAACTGTCAATTTATATATTTTTATTCCTTATTTACTTGTTCTATTTTTTATTATCTGTGTTTTTTGTTCTGTCACTGTTATTCTGTTACACTGTGGAGCTTCTGTCACGAAAACAAATTCCTTGTATGTGTAAACATACCTGGCAATAAAGCTCATTCTGATTCTGATTCTGATTACTTATTTGAACAAATGCCTGAAATGCACTTCTTGTGTCTGTTTGCCTCTTTAAGAAGAATCGCTTTATGTATTCCCCAATTATTAGTTGCTTTGGATAAAAGCGTCTGCAAAATTATTAAATGTAAATGTAAATGTAGATCAGACACACTGAATAATACAACAAGATAAAGTTCCCAGATATTTCAGGACACTGTTTATTTTCTCCTTCACTCTATGTAATGTTTTCCAGGAAACATTGCTTTTCCAGCTCATTCAATTTCCCAAATGCAGAGATGAAAGTGAAAATGTCACAATAGCACTTTACAGAAGTGAAAGTGTCTTGTTCTTTATATACTCATAGTGAAATTAAGCTGGGAGGGATAGTAAATAGAGCATATAAATCGAGCAGCATTTTAGCCAGAGCGGATCACTCGTCACTGGCTCCAGGTAGGAACATTCATACTTCTTTATTTCTAGCCCATTTGTGTTTCTAATTGATTAGACAGCATAATATTCTCCTTAAACGCAGATGATTATATAGTTTGGTTGTTTGTACACATATTACATTCTGAATATTAAATGAATAATTTGTTGCAGACAGGACACTGTTGAAATCTTTTGTGCTTTTAAAGATTTCAAATGAGTTTCGTTTAATTTAAATGATATACAAAATGAATATGAAGGACTCAAAATAAAATATCTGCACACAGACTTCTTTAAAATTACATTTATTTCACTAATGTATTGTTTAGAAAATACAGATACGACTCTGTGGGCAGTGAAATATTTCACCATGTGTTTCGAACTATGAAATATGATTTCCAGTAGTTTGAAATCATCCGCTTCTCTCTAAGCCGTGTGAATTAGCATCAACTACAAAGTGACCTCACTACTGGTCAGGGTTCTCTGGGATAAAGGACTCAAATGCAGAAATGCAACTCAAATTAATTTGATTGAGTAGTAACAGAAGATCAGAGTATTATGAGCTGTAATGGTAATAGAAGACATTTGATTAAAATTTACATGAAGTTTGTTAATCATATTTATTGTTTAAAAAAATATATGACAAATACATCAACTCCACACCATTCCACTCTAAACATTTAATAGATAAACTAAGAGGATCTTTACAAAAACAAAAGACATTTTTAGTTCAGTGAAGTTTCATAACTTCTAAATTCTTGATCTCTTAATCATCCTGGTTTTTATCAATCCATCTCTGTAGGGTTTGAAACATCCGAGCACAAACCACAGATTGGTGACCTTATTAATCAGCAGTGTCTCAGTGTTTGACATCCTCCTTCAGTGAAGCGTGAGTCATCAATTCTTTTATGATTCTTTTCTTTTTAATTTGGCATGATGGATCCATTAACTACAATGTTTCTGGTCAAACCAGACCAGTTTACTGAGGTTTTTAAAATGTGCAGAGCAAATTCATCAGTGTGAATTCAATTCTTTTAGAGTTAAAATCAACTCAGTGAACATATTGTCCCAATATTAAAAAAAAAAAAAAGTTATTTTACTGATTTAACGTTAAGACAGTTATATTCACTCTGTAATGCGTTGAAAAACAGCTCTGGTCACTGTTTAAACTCATGCCAATAAAGATCTGTAAAGTTTATTTTGATTTTACAAAATTATCTGAAAAAGTGATGTTTCTTTTTTTGCTGAGTTGTGTCAGCTGTCATAGGTTTGATGATGTTTTCAGCTCAGCCTGCAATTGCTTAACCCTCATTTGGTCCTTGGGGTTAATATGACATGCTCACTCACACACACACACACACACACGTACACACATGCACGCACACACACAGACACACACACACAGACATGCACGCACACACACACACACACACACACACACACTCACACACACAGGTTTGTTTTTGTGAAAAGTGGGGACTCTCCATAGGCGTAATGGTTTTTATACTGTACAGACCGTATATTCTATTGCCCTACACCAACCCTACCCCTAAACCTACCCCTCACAGGAGACTTTGTGCTATTTCAGATTTTCAATACACTCCATTCTGTGTGATTTATAAGCGTTTTGAAAAGTGGGTACATGGGGTAATGTCCTGAAAAGTCACCTTCTCCTTGTAATACCTGTCATACCTTTGTCATTATACACATTTATGTCCTCATTTGTCACAAAAACACATACAAACACTCACACACACACTCACTCTCTCACACACACACACACACACACACACACAGGAGTGACTGCAACAGAGGCATTTTTATAGAAACTGGTAAATAAAATCAATAAATCCTGCATAGATCTGAAAATTTCCACACAAGAATGAAGGCCTGATACTAGAGCACAAATACAATGTGGGACGAGCATACTCACTCATGTACATACACACACACACACACACACATGTGCACACACACTCTCTCTCTCACACACACCCACTATTTCAGTTGTTTTTTTTTCTTTTCTTTTGTTTGTTTTTTTTTCTTGGGGGGGGGGTTGGTTGTGTTGTTTTAATTTACATTTAAGTAAAATAAAATTGTTTTGATTTAATCCATTTTAGATTTAAAAAAAATATGTGCCTGTGATCAAGTTTTAGTCACAACTTGTGTGGCATTTCTGCAAATTTATGTGACATTATTGCAAAAGTGGGCACTTCAAAATTCCTCAAACAACAAAAACTAATTCTAACCTTTGAGAAAAATACTGTTTTTTTATGTATTTTATAACGTTTCAATATATATTTACAAAATATATCTCAGAAAAGTTGTGGGAGAAGCAGTGGGCCACTTCCAGAAAAATGAATGGATCTCTATGGGCCTCTGCTGGATATATATGTTCATTACTCTATTCTTTCAAAAACTGTAGTTTCTACAAGTTTTTCTCTAACCAGCAGATGGCAGAATTCTACACCTAACACCTAGATCAATATCCAGAAACAACTTAAATCAGATTTAGATCATCATTTAAGTGATTTTTTCATAAAAATGTGATATTTCACATGCAAGCTAATGGTGCAGTTGAGGAATTATGTGGTAAACAGGTACAAAAGTACTTCATATCTCCCAAAACACAGCTTTAATGTATAGATGAGAAGTAAAAAAAAAAGTAGATTTTTTTAAGCATTAGGTGAGACCTGTTTTCAGAAATAAGCATATACTGTCTGGAGCACAAAAGGTGCTAAGAGACTTCGTAGCTTGTTCAAGTCATATTTCCTTCATTTTAAAGCACTAGTGTAAAAAGTGTATCATATCTTGCAGATTCATCTCTACAATGTCAAACAATAAGGCAGAGAAGATCAGCTCCGTGTCTGACCAAACTGAAGGGCAACAAGCGCAAATCAGCAGGTTAGTGTCATAATTGCATCACTTCTAATCTATGACACAACAGTTATCATTCTTAACATCAGGGTTTGAAATGAACACCCGCCAATCCACAAATAATCAATATACAGGGTAGAATAACTTTGATTGCTTTTACTGTCATTTGATGATGTTCTGTGCTTTCAATCTTGACAGACCATAGGAGACCGAAAGTCTTGAGCTGAAATACATCGTTAGAGTTAGAAAATAACGTATGGATTTTCATTTTTAGTCAGGTTATTCCTTTAAATCTAAATTCTAGACTTCTAACACCTCATTCATCAACTGATTAACAAATCCTTTATAATGAACAAAAGACTTGTTGCTTCTGCTTTATATCACCACTAAAAAGGCAAGCAATTAATGTAGGCATGTTGATGCCAAATCTTTTTCTTTTGCAGATCACGTCATGATGCCACCCTCACGAATGCTGGTCCTCCAGCTCTTTACAAACTGAACACGGAAAGAACTTATTTTGATGGGGCCGATGGAAAGCTCAGACGATGGACTTATGGAAGAAGAGACAGAAACAAGCAGAACAAAGTCATACTGATGGTGGGAGAAACCGGCGCTGGGAAAACCACCCTCATCAACACCATGATCAACAGCTTACTGGGAGTGAAGTTTGAGGATGAAGAGTTTTATCAAATCACAGAAGAAGAAGAAGATGAAGATCAATCACAGTCCCAGACATCGGAGATCACTGTTTATGAGGTGTTTGTTAAAGAAAACCCAACATCTCTGACCATCATCGACACTCCAGGATACGCAGACACTAAAGGATACGAGAAAGACGGAGAGATTTCTGAATATCTGAGCAGATTATTCTCAGTTGAGGATGGGATTCATTATATTGATGCAGTGTGCTTTGTGATGAAGGCGTCTCAGAATCGACTCTCTGGAAAAGAGCATTACATATTTCACTCAGTTCTGTCTCTGTTTGCTAGAGATATAGAGAACAACATAGTGTTTCTACTCACACAGTCAGATGGACGACGTCCAACAGATGCCCTCAATGCCATAAAGAAAGCAGAAATACCCTGCAGAAGAGATGAAAACAATAAACCTGTTTGCTTCTTGTTCAACAACCGACAGAAAGAGGAAAGAGATGAAGAGTATCAGCATCGCAACAGATTAGATTGGGAAATGGGAGAGAGAAGCATTAATCGGTTCTTGGCACTCTTGGAAGAAAAGAACAGAAAAAGTGTTCAGATGACATTAGATGTTCTGAAAGAGCGAAGACAACTTGAAGCCTGTGTCTCTAATCTGATGGAGCGAATCACTGAGAAGGAGTTAAAAACCCAAGAACTGACGCAGATTCAGGAAGCCCTAGGACAGAACAGAGAAAAGATTGAGAAGTGTGAGAACTTTAAGTTTACAGTCCCAAAGGTTTTCAAAGAAAAAGTCCCCATAAATCCTGTAATAGTGTGGTCGGGGTTTTTTTTTACAAAAAGGAACAACTTGGCAACCTGCTGCTCTGTCTGTGAGGAAACCTGTCATGATGAGTATGGTTGCTGGTGGATCCCTTTAGATCATGTTAAATGGTGTCAAGTCATGAAAGACGACCACTGCACTGTGTGTACTAATAAGTGTCATTACAGCAAACACATCAAAGAGGACAAAAAATATGTGACAAAGACAAAGACAGTCACTATGACATTTGATGAGCTCCAACAGAAGTATCAAAAAAGTGGTGAAGAGCCTAGAATCACCAATTACAAAAATGATAAATATGAAGATACTAAACAGGAACATGAAAGTAACATGAAAGAGTTTCAAAGAAAAACAGAAATCGAAATGGAACTCGACAGTGATCTGGAGAAGATTAAAAATGAAAAGTCCAAACTGCTGCATGAAGCTTATATGATCATCATGAATCTGTGTAAGATCGCATTAAAAGCAGACAGCGCTTTCACTCTTCGGCATCTGGATTTCCTGATTCCCCGACTGAAGGAGGAGGGAAAAGATGAATGGATAAAGGACCTGGAGGATCTGAGGAAAACTGGAGAACAGCAGAAAAATAAGGGGGCCGTACATCATTTAATGACTTTTTTTGGTAATTTAACTGGTAAAAAGTAATAAATGCAACAAATACAGGGCTTAAAGTTCTCCGGCACCGTGCCGGATCTCCGGCATGCAGCGTTTGGCTGCAGAAAAAAATAATCCTACATTTAAAAAAATATTTGTTGATATCACGTTTGAGTCCAAGAATTCGCCTACCAATGGTATGAGAGGAGCATATCTTTCACTCTCAACCAAACTAACATTACTAGCCAATCAGAAGCTTTTTGCTCTTATAAACACGAAACGCGCATTATAGTATCCAATCAGACAGAGTCGCAGCCCTGATGAATGGAGAAGCACGACACGTTGAAAAAGCTGCGAGGCGCAATGGTCAAAGATGCCCATCTAACGCATATTTACATAGAAACTAATTAAAAAGCAGCGGAGCTTAGTAATCATGTCATCTCCATAAAACGATATAATGGCCAGAACAAATTTACCGGGATTTTTGAAAAGGTCCTTTTCACACATGATCTATTAATGGTAATTTACCAGTAAAGACTGTATGTGTGAAAGGGGCTAAACTATTACTCTGCATTTGCTGTGAATTTGAATTGCTTAACGTTCTTCCGGGAAAACTGTGTGTATTATCTCACTAGATTTGTAACGTAAATCATTTATAAACCTTTGCCAACACAGGAGAATACATCAACCTATGTCTAAATATGCCGTTTATTGTACATCGCGATTTCAAAATAAAAGTTTCTGAGTTCGCATGTGGCCAAATATTAAAATTTAATGGATTTAAACGTCATTTAATCACGCTGTAGAGTGAAACGTCACCAGGCCGTTGGCGCCCTCTGCAGGTATTTGCTATAATACATAATGTACTTAAGTTGGTTATGTTCGTATTATGTAAAGAAATATTACATTACATAACACAACAGTGTTGTTCAATACAATCATGCAATTATTTAGTTTTGATATTTTATTTGAACCAATTATTATTGCCTGATCGTTAGTTTATATATAAATAGTCATACTAAGGCCCCGTCCACACGGAGAAGCGTTTATCTGTATACTCATAAATGTTCTATCGTATAGGCGTTTCGTCCAGACGGATCCGGAGAGTGAAAACGATATTTTTTGAAACCGGGTGCCAGAGTGGATAAATCTGAAAACACCACCCTTGTGTTTTCGTGTGGACAGCGAATCCGTATATTTTCTGAAACGATGACATTTTCCACGTCTCGCCTCTAGTCAGACACCGCTACGTCACGTAACAGCAACAAAAACATGAACAAACACTGAACGATTGTCTTTTTATTAACTAACATTAACACAGATTAATAAATGTATTGTTCCATGTTCGTTTGAATACCGTGCGCAAGGTTTATGCGCATAGTCCAAGTCTTCTTCTCTGTTTTTAGTGTATCTCTGTAGCATAATTACAGCGCCACATGCTGGTCTGGCATGTATACTACATCGTTTTGTGTCAGTTTCGTGTGTACGCAGATATTTCTTGAGACGAGGGGGAAAACAAGATCGGATTCGTGTGGACGTAGCCTGGACAAAGCCTGGTTTTCACTTAGGCCTGTTTGTGTTACTAAAAAATACCAGATTACTCAGTTGTCAAAATAATCAGTAGATTACTTGATTACCAAAATAATCATTAGTTACAGCCCTAGATTAGTTAAAATATTTCAAAATACAACTGCATCGTTTTACTTTTTGTAATTAAAACACAAATATTTTGTCAATGAAAATTTCTTAAAAATAGTATTAAAACATTGCCTCGTTCTAGTGAAGCAAGTATCTGTATTTCGTCTCATCTCGTGAGCTAAGTGTATTGTCACACCGCTAGTGTCGATAAGCGGTGATATAGCTCATAGTTTTCCAAGTGTATGATACAGCTTTCATTCTTCAGGTCAACCATATATACATGGAAAAAAAATCTGTTTGACTAAGGAAAGCGATAACTTTGCCATAGTATCCTTTCAGATGTTAAAGAAAGGACCCCACTGCCCCGGCCCTGGAAAAAAGTTCAGGCTCAGGATTTTCTTTTTGCTTTAACCCCTGCAAATATGAAAATGCTGATCAGAACAGATAAAGAAAATTAATTTACTTACAAAATGTTTTGATGAATTTCATGATTACATTTCTGGATATATGAAAAGTAAATTTGATGAGAGCTAATGAAATGACGTTTTATTAACAAAGTTAGGAAAGAGCACATTCAGGTAATCAACTAATTCAACCGAATTTAGCTGCAGGGTGTCTTTAAGACTTTTGTCTTTCATATTTTAATGAATTAGGTACAGTGCTGGCCAAATTGATGCCCCATCTGCATCGAATTATGAAAGTTAAAAAAAAAAAAGTCAGAACAGAATAGCATTTTTTTAAAAAAAAAATTTTTTATTAAAACAATATATTACGATTATACAATTAAATGCTATGCTAATTACTGCATGTTTCAGTACTGGCTAAATGTATGTGAAAGTGTACTCTATTTAATCAAATAAATTTTTGCATGATGTTTCATCCATGCTACTATGTGTCACTATAAGGACAAGAAATGTATCATATTAACCAGTATTATATAAACAATGCTTAAATTACTAACAGCAAAAGTGCAACAAGTTAGAAATAAAGAACATAAGAGCAGTGAGTTGTTTTGGTTTAATTTAATATACTGTTATAACCTGTTCTCTTTCGGTTTTACAAAGATTCCAACTATAATCAAGCTGATTTTAAGCAGTCTTTGCATAAAATTAACTACATGTGTTGTTATTAAAATGATTTATCTTGTTAAACATCTTTAAATTTTTGCATCTGTAATCCTCACTGTAGTACTTTTAGCAAACATAGCTCAGCCTAGTAGCCTACCCTGTATGTATGTGTATGTATATATATATATACTGTATATATATATATATATATATATATATATATATATATATTTATATATATATATCTCCATGTCTTGCTGTAATTATTCTGTACTACTTTCTGAATTATAGTACTGCGTTTTCTTGTTTTTGTATGATTTGTTGCTCAAAGTCACTTTGGATAAAAGTATCTGGATTTTTAAAAAGTTTTTTTTAATAGAACATTTCGTGGTTGTTCGTATACTGTTATTGTCATGTATATTGTGTTGGTCACTTGTGTGCTGGTTTGTGCTTTTTTCTCTCCCTCTTTCTAGGGCTGGCGGTATGACAGTATTTATCGTTACCGCGAAATAAAATGTCAACCGTAACATTGCTGTTAATTTTGTTTTGTGTTTTGTTTTAGATGATGTGTGAATTATTTTAATCGCTTAAAAATAAGCGTTTTTGAGTAATTCCGTCTCTCACAAAATAATTATTGGAGGAAATTTTGTGATGAAATTGGAAAAGAGACGGACGTTAATGAAAGGTGGGGAATGATAAGAAAGATGGGAGGGATTCAACCTAATGGAGAAATTCCAGTTTTAATTAATGAAGGAAAACAAGTCATATCTAACTCTGAAAAAGTAGAAGTATTGGCTGAAAATTTTGTTAAGGTTCATAGTAATAGAAATATATTAGAAGAAATTAGGTTATATAGAGAAAACAAAATGAAAGAAAATTCAAATATTTTAGAGCAAAGAGATGTAAATGAAAGCTCGGTAGATTAAGTTTTTACCATGTATGAATTAAATCAGACACGTGCCTATCAGATAAGTCAAATAATATTTTATTATATCTTTTTAATAGAGTGTGGAAATTAGGAAAGCTTCCTTCCTCTTGGAAACATGGCATAATTATTCCAATTGTAAAGCCAGGAAAAGATCATTCACAAGTTACAAGTTACAGACCAACTGCATTAACATCTAACCTCTGTAAACTAATGGAACGAATTGAATTATGTTCTGGAATCAAAACATATTTTATGTCCTCATCAGAGTGGTTTTAGGAAAGGTAGAAACACAACAGATGCAGTTTTAAGTCTAGAATCGGATATAAGAAAGTCTCAGGTTAATAAAGAAGTAGTTGGTGTGTTTTTGGACGTAGAGAAAGCGTACGATATGATGTGGAAGGAAGGACTTTAAATTAAACTGAATGAAATGAATATTAATAGTAGTATAATTGGATTAAGGATTTTTTTAGTTGATAGAACCATTCAAGTAAGCGTGGGGTCTTCATACTCAAATATATATGCAATTGAAAATGGTATCCCACAAGGTAGTGTTTGCAGCCCTATATTGTTCAACATAATGATAAATTATATTTTTAATACAGTTGGACCAGGAATTGGAAAGTCTTTATATGCAGATGATGGTGCTTTATGGAAAAGAGGTAGAAATTTGTTGTATGTAAAAGAAAGCATGCACCTCCATGGTTATTCTCAATGCCTGTAGTTGATCTTCAGGTTCTAGTGAGTATAAATGATAAAAACAGACAAGAATCTAAAGATACAATAGTACATAAATATTTGGATCAGAAGTATATATCAGTAACTCATATACATATACATATATATA